CCCACCTTGTGAGGGACAGTAAGTGAATTCGAAAAGCCCATTTCTTTGGGGTTCCAGGTGAACAGATGCTCCTCTAGAGTTTCAGCCAGTACTCCTTATACAAAGCACAATTCCCCTCTGTCTCCCCCACCACAGGAAAGAAACTTTATTCCAGGCCCCATGTCACCTCTCTACTGCTGCAGGGATGCACATGACAAAAAAAACGGTTATGTGCATCCCTTTTGAATTGTCACACACAAATCAACAACAACAAAAAAAAAAAAACAGTTGTCACCAGCCTCCTGGGAGCGGTCATGTGACCATTTGCTGCATCACTTCCTGTTACCAAGGTTGCTGCAGGTGGTACCAGAGGCCCGGTTGGTTATGGTGAAGTACAGGACTCCATAAACTCTGAAGGAGGTTTCTCCTCCCCCCATGAACCTGGCCCAGTGCTTATAGCTACAAGGGCTGACCGATTTCCACCAGTGGGTGTGGAAGGCAGCTCCTCTGGTGGTCTTTGTACAACCTAAAATAGTTGTCCTTTTCCGTAAGACCCCCAACCCTTCCTCCAGCAAAGCAGCACACCAGCTTACTTCAGAAGCTGTTCAGTAAAGAAAGATCTTGGCATCCATAATACCTAAAGGGCAGTTTCTCTTCAATACCCCTTAGCCTTAGTAGGACTCCTTCAATGTGCAGGAAGACCCTTCTGCCTCAGAAATATAGAAACTTAGCCCCATATCCTCTTAAGAAAGGGTTTCTACAGTGTGAACAGGTTCTCTCTATGAGGCCCCAGACTGTGCAGTTACTATTTCCATTCTTACTTCAAGTAGTGAGCCAACTGCAAACACCTCAAGATTAGGGGGACTGCATTTGCAAGACAGGTCTTTAGAAGCAAAGCATGATTGTCAAAGAAAAAAAAAACTGAAACTCCAAAAGAACCCATTTATTTTTTAAAATACTGTCAAATTTTACAGATTTATGTTCTGGATTAAAGATCTTGATCTCCTCACGGCAACCAGCAGCAGAGCACAGACCACAAGTATTGTATAGACAGCCACGGCCATCAGCCCATAGCTGAAGAACTGGGGCACTGGGGAAAGAGAACAAGATAAGGGTCAGAGATCATTAGAGGCTCTTAGCAGCTGCAATACCAAGTCTCACCTTCATTGGAGGAGACCACTGTGTCCAGAACTGGGAGCTCCGAGTCCACCACGATCACTTCCCCACTGGACACTAGGACAGTTTCTTTGGAGGAGTCCTTCTGCATGGGATCAACAGTTCGTTCTACAGAGAAGACATTAATAAACCTCAGTTCCATGCTAGACATGCAACACCAAAAAGTCATAGGCCTTTACTGGAGGCTACATGGTTATCACATTTTCATTGGCAGATTAACTCACTTCTTCTGCCACAGGTGGGCACACAGCGGTCAGTAGCAGTCGGCTGGCACACTGCTGCACTACAGTGGATGAACACCTGGAGAGAGCACAGCAAGGGTCACTGCACAGCCCAGGACCAGCCAC